ATGGGTGCCAGTACCAGCTAGATGACTGCATGATAAGTGTCTTAGAAGTTCAAGAAAAGGCACTAAATTTTTCACAGTATTTGTGTTTCATTCTCAGTGTAATAAAAATATGCCACCCTTTGAATAATGAATAATAGATTCTCAGTTTGATTTACCTGCATGGATTAAATGTCATGTTTGAAAAGTTGCTATTTTATTCATATTGGATTTCCCTCCAGTAAAACAAAAATGGTGCCCATCTACTACTATAATAATGATACCTTGCCACACTGATGTATAAATAGTAACTGGATGATATACTTCTTAAAATTCTATGGAACCATGAAAGAGTCTGATAACACAGTGAGTTTAAGTCAGGTTTTCTCTGGAGCTTCTGAGGTGCCTATATGTGCCATTCAATTAGCCAAAACCCACTACAGTAGGGGAGCCTTATTTCTTTTTTTCTTTTTGGCTGTGCTGTGCAGCATGTGGGATCTTGGTTCCCCAACCAGGGATCGAACCCACGTCCCTTGCATTGGAAGCGCGGAGTCTTAACAACTGGATTGCCAGGGAAGTCCCTAGACCTTATTTCAAAGATGCCAAATTTACGTATTGAATTCTAAAAGGCTGAAGCAAATTGTTGCTTCTTCTTTCCCACTGAAGAGAAGGACAATTCATTGTCACCAGTTCTTCATGAGCCCCTCTATTACTTTTTCAGGACCACCATAGCAAAGTACCACTGACTGGATGGCTTTAACAATAAGAATTTATTTTCTCACAGTTCTGGAATTGGACATCCAAGATCAAGGTGTCGGCAGGATTGGTTTCTTCTGAGGCCTCTCTCTTTGGTTTGTCCCCCTGTGTCCCCACATGGTCTTCCCTCTGTGTGTGTCTGTGTCAATCTCCTCTTCTTTAAGGACACCAGTCAGATTAGATTAGGGCCCACCCCAATGTCCTCATTTTAACCTTACTCACCTCTTTAAAGACCCTGTCTCCAAACTTAGTCACATTCTGAGGTACTGGGATTTAGGGCCTCAGCCTATGAATCTGGGAGGAACACAGTTCAGTCCATAACAGCCCCCCTATTTATCCACTTCCATCTCCCACATCTCCTTTTTCACATACACGCAGCATAACTAAAGGACAAGACATTGCACACAGGACTCAAATGCCTTTTGGGTGAACCAACTCTGAATTTAGACACATAATGATTCTTTTTCCTTAAGCACACGAGGTTATATTTGCAGAAGCTACCCAAGCAATTTAAAAAGACAGCCCTGACTTTATTTCTCCAACTCTCGATGTAGTTCTTGGTCACAGAAGGGGCTAAATAAGTTCTTCAGTTATCTATTGCTGCATAACAAACTACTCCAAAATTCAGTGACTTGAAACATTTTTCTGTATCTCCCCATCACGTAGATCAGAAAATCAGAGATGACTCAGCAGAGTAGCTCATCTACTCCATAGGGCATTGGCTGGGGCCACTTGGTGCCACTCTTCTATTACCTGTATTTTTTTCCTAAGTTTGAAGTGATTATATATTTATTTATCAACTCCACTTCTCCTTTGCATAGTTAGACAGCTATGACTAATAAAGTGAAGGTAAGTGTGAACTCAGTTAATGTGGTCCCAGAACAGGAACACATGCTTGTTGAGAACTCTACTTTTACTTGTAGTTTTTTTAATTCTCTGATTTTCTTAACAAAGAGCTTAAGTTGTCTTCTGTAATCAGAAAGGCCAATACAGCTATTTTTCACTTGAAAATATCAAAAATCATCTGGAGAAATATCAAAAATCATCATATTTGAACATCTCCATCTTACAATACAGGAAAATGGACATTAAAGTGTGGAAATATTTGGGACAAAGTCCAAATGACAGTATCAGAAGTAGGACCGTGGGTGTTTGGAGGGCTATTACCTTGGGCTTACCAATCGATATATCTGCTGCCTCACTTAGAGGCTTATCAAACCCTATAAGCAAACTTTTCACCTTAACCTTCAATTGTTTGCCTCCTGGTCCAGCTTGATACCAAAGAGAAGCCACCTTTGATGCTATAACGTTGTACCCTCATTCCAAGCTCCATTAACAATGTAACCTTACAGACGTATAATGCAGACATTTCCTCAGCAGACTCAGTGCTTCTCCTGCAATGAAGACTTGCCCTCTCATTTGGGCAATACCTTCTCTGTCCCTCCTGTCTGTGTAGGAATAGCTGACCATCTCTCCTCGGTTAACATTGGTAAGATGTCCTGCACTCTCAAACAACCATATGAAGCCAACTTCTCGTGTTCATGGAGAAATGACCCTGTCTTAGGCTTGTACATGAAAAGAAATGATGTAAATATCTTAGATGCCCCTATATCAGTTACATACACAAGCACATCTGTGTGTTTTTGTGTGTGTATTCCTATTCCTATTGGAAAATGACGTTTCTTTAAACCTTGCTGCTGTACCTGTCAGTCTCCCACAAACTGCTAGCAGAGTGGCTGGCAGGCAGAATTGTGTGGTTAGTGGAAAAAGTTGCCAGAACCCAGTGGAATGAACAGAACTTTGAGCAACAGCATTTTCATTCTGAAATCAAACAGCGTCAGATGACTTCTCTTTCCTGTCAAGTTCTAGAGTGCTTTTCTTGCTTTTGTTTTTGTCCTGAATTTTTTGTACTTTTCTTACATACACTGAATGTGGAACACCCTAGTAGATTTCTCTGGGGATCCAGGATTTTGCTAGGTGATACCAAGGGATGGATATAATTCAGTGACATTTTGTCAGGCTCTTAAAGAATAAATTTTCCTTGGCTGTGGCAGGAAGTAATTATTTTGGTTTGTTTGCTTCTGACACAGGGAAAGAAAATTTGGGGTTGTTACTTCACCTATTCCAAGATACTTTTTGTTCTGTTTGGCAGGAAGGGGAAAATGCATTTCAGTGTTTGAGGAACAACTGGCCTCTTCTTTCCCCTACGGACTTGATGCGCTTTTCAACACTGTGAACAGTTTTGGGCAACATCCGTCTCTTAGTGGTTTTGCTCCCTGTCCCTGAAGACATTCTTTTTCTTTTTCTTTTTAATTTATTTATTTTTTTTGCGGTACGCGGGCCTCTCACTGCTGTGGCCTCTCCCGTTGCGGAGCACAGGCTCCGGACGTGCAGGCTCAGCGGCCATGGCTCACGGGCCCAGCCGCTCCGCTGCATGTGGGATCCTCCCGGACCGGGGCATGAACCCGTGTCCCCTGCATCGGCAGGTGGACTCTCAACCACTGCGCCGCCAGGGAAGCCCCTGAAGACATTCTTGATGCACCTCTTCATCCTCTAATCCCTCCTGACATTTAACCTGTAGCACTCTCTGTTAGGATTATTCATCAACATGCATGGAATATGCTCAAAGTAAACATAGCAATATACGTGGCTTCTGCACTCAGAGTTCACACCTCTATGGGGGGAGCTGGGGGATGGGCATCTAAACCAATAATAACAATAAAAAGAACATTTTATAGTGCTTTTCAATGTAAAAGAGCTATTTATGCAGATGGCTCTAGATAGCAAGCTCTTCGAATGCTATATTTGGTAGCCTAGCTCCAAGATTTAAAATGGTAGGTACTTAATTAAAATGTACCAAAAGAATGTAGTTGCCCATTAAGTACAGATTAGACCTTTTTTAAAATTATTAACTAAAATCTTAGCTAGCACCACATTCCTGAAATTTCTCTGATATAAGCAGTGAAAACCAAGATATCATGTCAGGGGCTGAATTACATCTGCTGCCCTCGTGTCACTTGTCCTCAAAGTCTGGTTCTATGGGGACAGTGGGCTCCCCCAGGGGGTAAGTCCTCTCCATACCCACCCCTGACTAACACCTCTCACATCTATCTCACACATCTTAACAACGCTTTTGGGATCATTTGTTAGAGAAGAAATTGTTAACCACCACTGTTCTCAAGCAAAGGTTAATTCAAAAGTTGTTCAAGATATAAGCATTCATCATATATATTAAAATGAAAGTCCCCTGGAAAGCATTTATGGGCTTCCCCATCAAAGAGACAGAATAATTATAACAATAATAATCACAGAAGCTTCTGAATTCTTACTATGTATTGACAGTGTGTATTTCCACAATCATCTCGGTCATTTTTTGTAATGCTTCTGATAGGCAGATATTTTTATTCCCATTTCACAGATGAGCCAACTGAGGCTCGGTTCCTCAGTGAGTCTTGTCAGCTCGGGAACCTTGTGCTACCTACACTGATTCTTACAATGTTTGTCTTATTCCTTCAAATTAATAGTGTAAAAAGCAATTCTATATTTTCAAACAGTCCATTCTCATGCCTGGCATCTTATGCACAAGCACGCAGTAAGGGTTCTGGGACTAACCCAGCCCCTTCCTTTCTTCTCCTTGGGCTGGAGTTCCCTGTCTTCGTCAGTCTGGTGCCGATGCCCCAGAGAAAGCTAAGCTTATCCTCTCTCCTTCCAAAGGTGACTTGAAGATCTTGGACCCCCGCTTCTCATCCCTGCATCCAGGAACACTCTCTAATCTTACCTCCCCCTTCCTCTCTCGCCCAGCACTGTCTCCTCCAGATTCTCTTTGCTTGGTAAACACATACCCCTATATCCATAATCTATTCTCTGAACAACCTCCAACATTTCTTCTTACCTAAATCTGGGTTCTCACCTAAAATCAGTGTCCCTGGCTGCCTACAAATGTATATACATACCGCACATAAAATACACACGTTAGTGACCTCTTGTCATGTAAATCCTGAAAAGGTGAAGAATTATACCAAGGATCCACAGTAATGATCTTGATAAAGAAGGATGGCATTCCATTTTACCCAGGACTAAGGGTGTCCATGTACCGGCCACAACACAGTGCTTGGCTCATACTGAGTGCTTATTGGGTATTTGCTGAATGAACGAATGAAATCCTTTCTGTTTACTACACAAAGCTGAGTACCTAAAACCATCTCTAGAGGTGAAAAGCTGGACAGATAGGAGCAGATAGTGGTACGTGTGCAAAAAGACCAGCTTACCACATAAAGGCGTTCGTGGAAATACAGCCCCACATCATAAAAATTTCCATCATGCCTCACTGGGTGTGTTCTGGTCTTCAGCTGCTCCGTCAGGCACCACGGCAAGACACGGCCACCTGGTCGACCGAGCAGGGACACTCTGAGGAAGTAGGAGCCTTGGGGAGCCTTGTTCTTGAGACCCCTTATGCATTTCATCTGTATTTGAAGAGGCTGAGGTGACCGACTCTGCTCAACTCAAAGAAAAGACAGGTTTCTTGAATTTCTTGAATGATGCAGGAACTGGGGAAAACCACACAATTAGCCACAGTGTGCTTCTCAGGGAGGGAAAAATAGACAATTATTTTTACTCAACCTGTAATTGTCAGGTATTAGCCGTGATAACAGAGGAGGACACACGACATGTAATTAGGGGGTCAAAAGGCAAGCCTACCGATTATGCGAGGGAAAGTTGAGCCAGTTTTTAAGTGTGGTATGTTAATGATCTGTGACATCAGAAACCATTCATCTATTATAATAAGATAGAATGAACAGGAAACCAACACTTCTAAAAACCACACAGTGGGCCTCTTAAGATACCTGGGATGGGTGAACATGGGCAGTAAGCTTGAAAGGTGACAGCCCTTACCTCTCATACTAATCACAGACCATGGACCCCATTGATTAGTGATGTGCAAAACAGGTCAGACTAACACCTCACCTGATCAAATACTTGTATTTAATTTGAACATGAGGTCACCTTACCCCACAGGCTTCAAGTGAGATTCAAAAAATAAAGAAAGAAGAGCATTTCTATGTGTTTTAACCTAAAACTTGGCATAAATTGCATGTAACTGAAGTATATGACTGAAGAATATTTTACAGGACATTTGAATTTCTTTGCTCACCTTCGGCTGGGACAAATAGGCCATTCATTTTTGGTAAATGTTAAAAGTAGGTACAAATTGATAAGGTTTTTAGTGGACTATTGTTTCAGAATACACAAAAATTAAACTGGGATTATTAACAACTCAAATGTCAGAAAGTCATGTTTTCCACCCTAATAGTCTTCAGAATAATTTGACCTTGAAAAATTCTCTATTACATCATGCTTTAAACAAAATTAATGTCATTTTTGGAATCAGGTTACTCTCCTAACTACCCCTGTGTTGGTAGCACCACCCGTTAATCTGCAGGTAACAGTAAGCCCTTTTTAATCCTGCCTAGACTTTACTTTGTGACAGATAATATATATTTCCATATAGACAGTATGCTTCTGGGATCAAATCACAGTTAAACCAACAGTGAAAGTTGCTAAACTTCTTTTGTTTCTTCATACAACTCAGACTTAAACAGTAATCAGAATAACAATGATTTTTTGGTTTAATTAGAAAATCTTAATTAACAATAGAGACTTAACCTTAGTATTTTGATTTCCAAAAATATTTTAAAAATTAACACCATGTGAATAAACAAGACAATCTCTTTAAACCTCAAGGCAGGATTACTGATGCAGGCAGACTGAGTTATTAAACACATTCTAAATTAAATGCCTCTATGAATTTTATACTGAGATATACTGTGATAGTTTTGCATGCCAAATGTGACATTTTGTATTTTAGATTCATCTTCTGCAGTAATTTTGGAAATGTCATACAAACAAAGGTTTTGTCATTTACCAATGGAATTACTATGCATGGCCCCTCAGCCATCTCTTTGCTGGCTCTTGTTGTTGTTTCCAGTCAGCAAGCCATAAAAAATCTTTATCTCTCTGAAACACAGCAATTTGGAAGATAATCGAATGGTGACTAGGGGGCAGAAAGGCCAGTCTGAGGAATTATACCACAATCTCTCCTGCATTTACAACCTTCCTCAGAGCAAGTGTCAGCCAAGTAGGGAAAGGAGATAGAAGATTCATCAAATCTCAAGCCTTGTCTCATTTGCATGGTGTCAAATCTGCCCCATTGTCTAGTGAGAACCCAGCCTGGTGCCATGGACACCGTTTTGAGGAATTCCAGTGGCTTCATGATGGAGCGTTTTAGCTGTTCAATTTTAGCCTAGAATTCTCAAAATTAGTTACTAAGACCTGATAGAACTCTGTTTCTCTAAAGGGTCCCATGGGAAGAAAAGCACAACAGGAAAGTGAGTCGATGAAATTGATCTTAGACTTAACTTATTACATCAGAGGAAAAAAGTCTCAAGAGCCTCACCTTCCAGCAGGGCCAAGGCCATGCTGTTCCCTTTGATTGGTGGGTTACTTCTGTGAGGATACCAAGCTTGGCTACGCTGCCTTCTTTACAAACATTTAGGTCTGCAATTACTGGTTGACTTGGAGCTCTGCAGCAGGTATAGGAAGAGGGGAGATATAAGGAAGAGAAATTGACAATGCAGGATAATAAAAAGGTTTGCCTTTGGTACCACTGCCCAATCTGATGTTTCCCTTAAATGTTTTCTCAGAATAACTGGGAGTTAGAGAAACACATCACAGATGCTGCAGTGGATTCAAGTCGGGAGGTGAGTAGTTTTTGAAATGAGACCCTATAAAGTATGACTCACTATATGAGCTACTGATGTCCCAACAATTAAAATATGGCTTGTTTCAGAAATCAGAAATTTGATAAAATATGTTACCACTTCATTTTCTACCACCACCCTTTCAATCTTATAACTTGTTGGAGAAACTGTGGGGAAAATTATTTAAATAGATGAATAGCTGATATGACATAATCATTTTCTTTTTTTTTTAATGCAATGTCCAGAGATCAAGATCTATTTCTACCCTCAGAAAGTTCCCCAGGCTTTTTCCTCCTATTAACATTTACTAACTTGATCTGAGGTTCTTCTTTATCGACTCTTTTTTCTTTCTTCTTTTTTTTTTTTTTCTTAGCTTCACAAGTCTTAACAGCCAGCATTCCCCTGCTTTTCCAAATTCATTCGAATTAAGAAGGATCTTGTATTTCACTTCTCCTGACTTAAGCCTAGTTCCAGCAGCAGGGCCATCTGTGACAATGACAGTCCCCCCACCAGAGGAATGGCCTTTTTGGATCTCACAGCTGATTTAGTTTCCTGGGATAGAAATGATTCTTCTTAATTCAGTTAGAGCTACACTGACACAAGAGTTCATTAGGACACACATTTGCCGGCAATTCAATCTCAAATTAAATACACTTTGTTGTAAATTTTATTACTTTTAAACTACTGTATCTATTGTCTGTAATGGCCCTATTATACCGTTATGAAGGTAAACCGATTTCATTAGTAAACCTCAAACATGTTATGTAAACCACAGTGAGAGGTTTTCCTCAGTTTCTTTCTTTGTTCCCTTGGCAAGAAAGGTAAGGAACTCATGAAATATCCTAAAGACTTAATCTAAATAATTAGATGCTGAATTCATGATAATCATCCTACGAGGGGAAAAAAAAAAACAAACCAGCCTTCTCATTTGTAATTCCAGTTCTTTGTAATTAGAGGTTTTCTAAAAATACCTTCCCTAGTTAAAAAGGAATGCAATGCACATCAAAAGGTTAATACACAGCTTCAACATGATACCAGGTACCTAGAGATAAGTCTAGTGATTTGCGTCCCCTTGGAGCCATCATGCTCTAGACCAGGAGCCAAACTAGACATCAGCTCACTTTTGAATTAGGGCTTCTGGCATAGTATGCTTTTTTCTCCTTGTATACGGCACTTATTAATTTTGTAATTATATTAATATATGTGTATGTTTGTGCACTATATAAAATCTAATTTTATAAAAATCCCCCCACCAAAGTCACCCATTAGTCCACATCCCAGAGATAAACGGTGGTAAAATACTGAGGTCTATTCTTCACAGCTGGGTAGCTAGACACATTTTTTTTTTCCCTTACAAAATGAGACTGATGCTGTAAATATTTTGTAACCTGTATTTTCCACTTTGTGTATTATACATATTTTCCATGAGATTACTCTTTTTCTAAGTACAAATTTTTAGCAATGTCTTAGTATTTAATTTTAAGTGTCTACCATAACTTACTGAAACAATCCCTTGTTGTTGGATATTTAGGTTAGTTCCAATTTTCATGACTGTAAGTTAGCCTATAATTAACTCTCTCTCACGTATAATGTGACATCAACCTCCCTGGTCATTATGGGATAAAGTCCTATCACTAGAAATGTTGGACAATAGCCAGGACATGGAAGCAACCTAAGTGTCCATCGACAGATGAATGGATAAAGAAGATGTGGCACATATATACAATGGAATATTACTCAGCCATAAAAAGAAACGAAATCGAGTTATTTGTAGTGCGGTGGATGGACTTAGAGACTGTCATACAGAGTGAAGTAAGTCAGAAAGAGAAAAACAAATACCGTATGCTAATACATATATATGGAATCCAAAAAAAAAAAAAAAGTTCTGAAGAACCTAGGGGCAGGACAGGAATAAAGATGCAGACATAGAGAATGGACTTGAGGACACAGGGAGGGGGAAGGGTAAACTGGGACGAAGTGAGAGAGTGGCATGGACATATATACACTACCAAATGTAAAACAGATAGCTAGTGGGAAGCAACCGCAGAGCACAGGGAGATCAGCTCGGTGCTTTGTGACCACCTAGAGGGGTGGGATAGGGAGGGTGGGAGGGAGATGCAAGAGGGAGGGGATATGGGGATATATGTATATGTATAGCTGATTCATTTTGTTATAGAGCAGAAACTAACACACCATTGTAAAGCAATTATGCTCCAATAAAGATGTAAAAAAAGAAATGTCTGGTATGGGAGACATGTTAGTCTATACCTTATCGAGCATTGAAGGGACACCTCAGCAACATATAATCCTGCCCACACAGCGTATTTTCTCAGGTGCTGAACAGTATTCACAGACAGGTCTCACTCCAGATGATACTTTATTTTCACTGCTAGTAGGATTAGCAGCTAAGGAGAATGGCGATGAATAAGCAGCACTGATGTACAACGAGGTTTCTCAACCTCTGCACTGTTGACATTTTGAACCATGTAATTCTTTGTTCTGGGGGCTGCCGGGTGCAGAATAGAATGTTTAGCAAGATCCCTGGCCTCTGCCCACTAGATGCCGTTAACAGCCTCCTCCCTAGGTCCAGTCACGACAATCAAAACTGTCTCCAGTCATTGCTAAATGTCCCCTGGGGGCAAAATTGATCCCTGCTGTGAACCACCGATGTACAGTATTAACTCATATTTATTTAGTGCTTAGCATGCTCAAAGCACTCTTTGAAATACATTATA